TTAAACGTTTTGGTAAATTGATAGCATTAGTCGCCATGTTGAGGTTAAAATAGATAACGAAATCTGTAATTTCGTAATTTTTTCCTGTTTTTGGTACAAAACACACCAGAGCCAGATGCATTAGCATGTGTGTTTTAATCGTGGAAAAGGAAATTTTATTCTATGCGATTAATACGAAGTATTTTGTATCCAACAAAAATGGTATTTTTGTCGATAAAACAGACGGCTTTAACATCTTCTTAATAGATCAATGTTTTTTAGACATGTACATTGTAATTCATATGTATTATATCTTGCTAATATAGTTATATATTTTATTTAAAACTGCATTTTTATAGTTACCATCCGCGTTTGATTATTCAAAGAGATGGTAAAACAATTGGAAAAAAATGTAATTTTGCGGCAATATATTATTTCATTTATTAGTTATCATGTAAAAAATTCATTAAAAAAAATGTACAACCAGCCCTGGTCTCCCCTACTCTTAAAGATCGGCAGCCCTGGATAAATTTTCGTGCCAGTCAATGGTGGGCCCGGAGGTAATTGCAGAGAATTGTGTCGATGTTATCGACTTTTGATATAAATTTGCGATTTATTTGAATAATACATTATTAAGATCATGATTTTTATTATATAAATGCTTTATAAATAAGTATGAATATACTTATAATGCTATAATATCATATATTACCGCAAAAATACATTTTTTTCAACTGTTTTACCATCTCTTTGGATAATTAAACGCAGATGGTAACTATAAAAATACAATTTTAAATAAAATTAACTATTAGCAATAAAATATAACACACATGAATTACAATGTACATGTCTAAAAAAACATTGATTTATTAATAAATCATAAAATTAATGTTATATTATTGACTAATTTGCTTATTTGGCAATTACTAAACTGCCACGCTACTCTCGTAAGGCTGTTGGTCTTTAAGAGTATCTCATCGGTGATGCAACTAATGTAGAACGAGGTAAAGGTCCGGGATAACCGCTTTTATGCTTTTTTCTGATATGAGTTTACGATAAATTATTAGAAATGTAGTCTAGCGTCCGGCATTTTTAATGAATTTCTAACGGCACGCGCGTTTGTCGTGATCTGATTTCGCAACGAGATCGGCCGAGTGCTCTCGCATGTCCATCTTTCGCTTCCCTACCTCCGTGGTTGCAAAAAGTTGCGGCGCCTCGACGCGTGGCGCCGCCAGTGGCTCAGGCTGGGGCCTTATAGCGCCGCGCCAATGGCAGCCTTGACAAATACATAATGGCCGTTGCCACCGAATAGTGTAACGCGTACATGGTACTGTCGTGTAACTGAAAAGTTTATTATTTTCAGTCGGAGTATCGTCGTCGCGCGTGCTCCGTGTGCGTTGTTTTCCCCTCGGCGAGGTGCGGCGGATCGCGCCGGGACGCGGGACCGCGCGCGACGTAAAACTGCACGCGAGCGCGAAAATTCCCAGGAGGAAAACACGGGGTGGCAAAACCGCGTACGCGGAGGTAATATTGACAATTTTTCGTCGCGACGCCACGCGCATTTTTGCGCGTCGGCCGCCGTGCACGCGCGTCGCGGCGCCGCGCGCCGGCACCTTCGGGCCCACCCGGGGCCCCGCATCTCCCCCGAATCCGTGCGTTTTCTTTTGTTTACGCCTTGTCAGTCGGGCCTTTTGTTGTGTGTGCACGGGTCCGCGCGCCGCTTGCACCCGTGAGTGAGAGTGAGCCCGTGTGTGATTCTGCGTTCGTATGCGTATGTGTTGGTGGCTTGTGTGGCACGTATACACCTCGCACACAGGCGCCAGCTATAACCTCAAAACATGTTTCCAGCTGGCGAATTCTCGTACGAGCCTCCCGAAATGTTTCGACGGGATCCCGCGGCCCCGTAGAACTACCGTTACGGCCTGTGGTGGTCGCCCACCGTCCCCGGAACACGGCGGCGCTCGTCCGCTCGTGGGCACGTTAAACCCCCCCGTTTCCCGCATCTCTCGCGTTTAATTCCCCCCCAACGGCGGCGAACCCGCGATTCCCGCCGTTCCTAGTCGCGACTGAAATCCGCGGCGAGAGCGTCTAGGCTAACTGATTTTTCGCGTAATCGCTCGACTCGCGGATGGTTAATGGAGCTTCCGCTTCTTCTTTGCAGGACGCAAATTGGTGACACAAACTCGCGCCAGCAGAAAGCCTAGCTAGTGTTTATACGGTTGAGACACTTTCGTCGAAGAGAAAACGATCACTCCAGCGGAGTTATCTCGTGAGTGGAGGCGTAATGTTGTGACATTACACTCGCGACACTTTACAAGTATTCAAGAATGTCTGTGAGTTACTTCCTGGACTTGGGGTAGCGCGTTAACACGAGAGTACTGTCATTCGCCAAGTTACTGTCGATACCGTATCCCGAAAACGTGTTGTCATGGACAAGCATAACGTCGCTACACCTATAAATGGATAAGATCCTGCAGCAGATGCACTTTAAGTATAAGTCGGGATATATCCACGATGCGATTGCACAGTTGTTCTTTAATGGATAAAGTAGTTCGTGAGAGAACTACTTTCTGCGTACTGGGAAGCAATGCCTATGACAGCTACGAATGGTTAGTGCCGGAGCAAGATTTTTAAAGGTGAAGCGTTAACAGTATATGTGGATACAAGTGGGTGCAACAATTTAAGTGGATACAACGGTGCTGCCTGAGTTTCGGAAGAGTTACGAAATTGTATGCATGACAGGAACGGGAGACGTAGGCCGCAGACGTGTTGAGTGGCGCCGAAACGCCAATATTCCTCGTTGCAATTACTAAATAATTTAGGTAAATATTTTTGTATATTAATTACATATATAAAATTAATAAGATAAATGATTTCAGACATTAAATGTAAAATATTTTGCATGATTTTTTTGTTAAGACACATGTTTTATAACTATATTTATTAAATTATTATTAGTCTTTCATTCAGTATGTGCCACAGTTTCAATAAATATATAATTATATAATTTTATAATATGTAATATATAATTTTCTTCTACAAGATCTGATCGTTGAAAGTTTAAGTCATTTGTATATTATGTTACACATTATATATCAAAAAATAATTTTTTCATAAATCTCTTTGAACTTATAAGACGAACAAAATATTTCATCCGTCTCACAAGTTCAAGGAGATTTATTATAAGAAAATTATTTTTTCTCAATAGGAAAGAGCCAAATAAGCTGGAAAGGTGGCTAGACGCTGCCCATAGTAAAGAGGGGCTGCGTGGGCATGCAGCAGCCTCAGTCACGCCCTCTTCTTGGGGACTCAGTATCCTCTACAACTTCCCCGAATGCGCGTCATAATAATCCAGTTACTGTTTTGACCCAACAACAAGTAAGATTTTGTAGAAATATGTAGATTTGCTTATTATCTGATATTCCTACACATATTTTCTATCTCTGTGTATCCTCTTTCAGGTTGAAACTTCTGTATAGCTTGTTTAAAATATAAAAAATACAAAAAAAAATCAAAATCAAAATCATTAGTCTTGTATAAAAATAATTCTATTTATTATTCTTATTGCAGTTGCAGCAATTACAACAATTACAAGCCCAAAATAGCAGTGGCCAGTCGCTAACATTTGCTTTGCAACAGACATCAAATAATGTAAGCTATTTTTTTTATTGGCGAGCGCATTTCATCGAATATTATTTCGATATTTTAATGTCATTATATTTGATCTTGCAGCCACAAGAGCAAGGAAATGGGTCGGCAACTGGAAGTCACATAGTCTACGTAAATCAGTTGAATCAATTGAATCAGAGTACCATAAATCCCTCGGGGACTGGTATGGGCCTACCCCCGGCCACCCCCACTTTTGGGGTGGGCCTTAATATGGGATTGCCACTGTCACTTCTAAATACCAGTCTTACATCTCTCACGTCCAATGTTATCACCACATCAAATCCTCTGCTGAATTTGGGCTTGCCAAGTATAAGCACAGGGATAACCACGATAAATCCTAGCCTAAATCACTTAAATGCTATCAATTCCAATCTAACGTCCAACATTGGTTCAAACAATATTAATAACAGTTTGTCCAACTTGGGGCAAGATTTGAATAGCATTAATACGGGGGTGAATACTGGAATAAACAGGCTCAATACGATAAATTCTACGAATATTAATTCTGGGCTATCTGGAGTGAGCACTGGGCTGTCAGCTCCAAATTTGACAAGTCTAAACTCATCGAGCGTGAATCAGAATCTTACTACATTGAATACCAATTTAACCGTCGCGAATTCCGGCGTATCTGGTTTATCTGCTATTAATCCGAATACAAATTTGACTACCACCAGTATAAATTCTGGTGTGAATCAAGGTCTCAATCGACCAGCAAATGCCCTGGCAACTAGTTTGACACCAACTAGTTTGAATTCCAGCAGTGCACAGTTTCCATTCCAAACGATACAGAGTATTCAGACTATTGCACCACACATTGCATCGTCAAATATAAATGTACCAAACTCTGCTATATCGCAACATCCTAATTCAAACATCTCACAAATCTCCAGCTCTGGAACTCTGACCAGTTCCAGCATATTCACGAGCACTCCCAGCGAAACGATTCATGCAACTACTGCAAATGTGAATCACGCTTCAAACGTGAATCTCACTACGAACATACCGCACCTAATGCACCCTTTATCGAATATATCAACGTCAAATGTACAACATATATCCGCGTCCAATGAATCGACCATGTCATTGAGTCATGTTTCTTCTTTAAGTTCCTCCCAGTCGACTGGATTTCAACCACAGCGACAGTATTCACAGGGGATAAGCCCTGGGTTAAGTGCATCAGTAGCATTAACAGGCACAACACAACCGTCGAATGTGGTCAGTACTATGAATACTGTTAAGTCTATGCAAAATATACAAGGTCAAAACATTAGTTCGCCGGGCAGCCCGTTTTCAATACCCTTGAAAAGTCCAGCGTCTAATATAGCACCGCCTACGCCGAGTCCTAGCCCTAATCGACTTTTACTTAGAAGTCCGGCTTCGAACTCGATACAATCCAATCGGAATAGCCCGAGCCCAGTGAGCACATCGACTTCGAACAGTAACTTTAACATGCAGATGCAAAGCCCCATGCAGAGTCCGATGAGTGTTAGCCAAATACAGAGCCCTGTACTTAGCCCGTATCCCCCTGCAAAAAGTCCTCATCTATTAAGCGGGAATAATTCTCTCAACAATAGAAGCCCAGCACCTGGAGGTAGCCCTGGTCCACCTGTGGTAAGAATACTGATAAAAATTTAGAAATTTAGATTCTACTCCAATTGCTCATTGAAAGTTAGTTGTTTTGTAGTTTTTGTGTAAAAAAAATATTTTAGTGACTTTGTCAGAATATTTTACTTTCTAAACTTTTATTGGTTTATTTTGTTTATTTGCCGAAAAAGGGTGCAATTTTAGTAATACACAATTAAATTATTTGTTCATCCATGCATCCTTTTATTTTTCATGTGTTTCAGGTTAGGCCTAATACACCCATATTACAGCAAGGAATGCAGGTGTTACAAATAATTCATGGTACACCACAGGGTTATCAATCTGCCCCAACTCAGCTGGTAACTAGGACACAGTTATTTGGAAATCAGCAAATAATAGCGGCGAGTAAGCCCACCAAGCAACCACCGCAAATTTTGCCAAAACCACCAAATCAGCAAACTAGTACAACTTCTCAACAAAAGTCACAAAGAGTTACTACTACAATTACAAATCAGGTATAGTCTTATTTTTATTTTTAATTGTTGCATCAACATGTGCGTTATTTATTTATATGCAATATGTACATAAAATTCAGCTTTAATTTAACTTTTAGTCTAATCTGACATAATTTTATCTTATATCAATTTTATTCTGTTTAAAATATACAATCTGTATGAAATATTCTTTCTTTATAGTATATAAAACTTTTATTCAATCTGTTATTTGATATTATAAATATTTATTTTGATTCTGTTTATAGTCTGGTTTCATAATATGTATTAGGATTTTAATATACATTAATGTATTTTACTATATTATAAGAAATATAAATAAAATATAATAAAATACAAATAAGTTAAATAGGCTTAAACGATTAAAAATTACAAGACAAGCACACGAGCCGAGCTGGATGTAATGTGCTTTTTTAAAAACTTTAAGTAACAGTCACAATGGCATATAAACAAATATATTTCGAGTCTTGATTAGATCAGCCTCAGTGTTGGTACAAATCATAATAATGAAATTAGAAATAGAACCGTTATCTTTGCCTTCCAAATTTAATCCAAAAGAGATGAATTTTTATCACGATTTATGTGTGTTGCGCAAAAACAAAACAATGAATTACATTTTTCTTAGTCTGTAATAATTTGCACAGTAAGATTTTATTATTAAAGTATATATATTTCTTTTTCTTTATAGGTAACTCAACAGAGTCAACCACAAATTGTTCTTGCTGGACCGCAGCCAAGTCCTACTACAGCAACAATGATTCCAACAGCACAGGGTACTGTGCTACTGAATCAGGTATACTATTACAATATATAATTCTGTTTACGTCTTTCAATTACGTCTATCATCTACATATGCATTAATTACATTAATATACATGAATTACATTACAAAAAAAAGTATATATATCATGCTGTTATTATAAGAGGTAGTTTGAGATGCTTCATATTTATTATAACTGCTTACATGCATTTCTATTGTCATAGAAAGTTGCTTCTATGCTTCATATATTTGTCACATTTGGTATATAGGTATTGCCGTCTACTGGACCTGTCATTGTACAGCAGCAACCAGGAGGCGTTCAACTCATACTAAGGACGCCTGCAGGCGCGCAGCAACAAACGCATACCGCACAGGTGATGGTTTCATCCATTCATCCACACATCTTCATATTCGCATTCATAATCATCGCTTGTTAAATTTTTATTAAGAATAGAGATAATTTGCATATTTTTTGTTGAAAAACAGAATTATACACATTTTTATTCTTATTAAGAGAGAATTATAAAAATTATTTATGTAACTTTAATAAATATCTGTGTATGTTAAATATATACACAAATATTTTCAACTTTTTATGTTTATAAATTTTTTATTTTAATACGTTAATTTTAATTATATTAAAATTATACAAGATAAAATTAAAATAAGTTCTGCCATAAATTATATATTTTACACAAAATAGATGATAATACTTGGAGTACATATAACGATCTTTAGATATTTGCATACAAATTACAGCATATTTTATAAAAAAATATTTAATAAAATAAGACATAAATATGTAACTTCTAATTATAGTTAACGCAACAACAATTGGTAAGGGTTGTCACAGCGCAAGGTATGCAACTGCAGGGGCTGCAGGGGCTTACTGCTGCACCCACCACATTTTTCGCTGTACCTAACGGATTTCCTTCAGCTGCTTCTCCAGTAATAAGGCATACTCCATCTAGTCCAGCGCCATGTAAGTTATCACATAATGATGTTACAGCAAAATACATTACAATCATATTACAATATCACATACAAATTCGCAATTAATGCATGTATACAGTTAACAAAAACAGAATATGTTAAGTATTTATCAGGTTTTGATATAAAAATATAACAAATATTGTAGAACATATTATTGTTAAAAATAATGTAGAATACAATTTACATTGAAAGAACTTAATTTTTATTTTATTTTATTTACATTGAATATGCTTTGAAGTGTTAAAAATATCAATATCATGTAAAATTATCAAAGTCACGTTTTACGTGGTAGTCTCCAAGTCTCTTTTTTTATGTCTTTAAATTCGCGACATTAATTTGTTACATTTATCATAAGATTAATATTAATTTCTTGCCATATTTTTAATTTCAATTAAATTAATTGAAATTAAATTAATTTGTAGCTAATTCCGGAACTAGCAATCCCATCGTAATTCAGAATGCTATGGTACAAAGTTCTCAATCGCAAATCCCACAAGTCACATCTGGTAACACTACTGGTAACAATACTTCATGCACGCAACCTGTCTCGGAACAAAATCTATTGCCGCCTCCTAAGAAGAAAGCAAAAAAGAAGAAGAAAGCCAAACGGAAAGATGACGAACCAAAGTTAGATCTTGCCCGTATTATAAAGATATCGGGTATCGTGGATGACGATGATATTTTTGATCCTGAGCTGACACCCGAAACCGAGGTTTCCGGTCAAGTACAGCAAAGCGAAACTAATTCTGGGCAATCTTTAGTCCAACTTTCGCAAGGGACAGCTCCTGTCAGCTCTGCTCTAACTCAAGTACCTGGAACAAATACAACGAACACACAAGCTACTGTATCGCAGCCGGTTAACAATCAGCTGGTCGCCCAACTCCAGATGCCTGTACAAAATTCAATAACGGGACAATTTCGTTTATCAATTGGAGAAGACGGGAAACAACTTATTTTACATCACACCCCCGAACCGAATCAACCCGAGATAGATTCGGCGACCGCGCAAGCTTTAATACGAACCCTGACTCAAGGCAGCGGTCAAAATTCGCAGATTATCTCGCAGTTCTTCAGCCAAGCACAACCAACGCCACAATCTACTCAAAGTACAACCCAGCAAAGGCAAAAGTACGTCAAATCTCCTTTATCTAGCGGAGGTCCAACTTCAACCAATACTATAAATTCTACTTGCTCACAAAATGTCACTTGCACTACTAGTCCGCATCATGGCCAGATATGTTCGAAGCCGATTAATCAGCAGAAAAATACAAACGTCGTTCCTCAAGAGACTAATTCGCTACCTAATGTTTACATTCAAAGCAGCCTCGGATTACAAGAGATACGAGAAACGAAGAACCTGATCAACGTAAAGAACCTGAAAATGTTAAGCGTGGCAGAGCAAGCTAAGAATTTGAATTTTCCGTTTACATTGTCAACGAGCGTACACACTCCGCTGAACGCCCCGGATGTCCTACCTACGAAGCCTTCCGCTACTATACTTGGCATCCCTGGCCCTCGAATGCCTAATGCGAGTCAAGCAAATTCGAGTCAACAAAATTCCAATCTTTCTCTACAAAAGTCTAGTCAGGCACGACTCGTGAACACTTGCGTGACAAATGTACGACAGAAATTGGGAAAGCAACCGCAGCAACGGCAACACACCGTTCACGTGCAGAAATCATTATTACCTAGTACTTCGGTAGCACAAAACGATCATGTGTCTAAAACTAATCAGAGCCTTCAGCAAACGAATCAACAAGAGAGTCTAACGCTGCAGCAGGAGTCGCCACTATTTCAACATAATCAACAGATCACCGCGCAAACTGTACAAACTCAAAATGTGCAACAAATATTTGAACAAAATTTACAGAGCTCAAACATTCATCACAATTCCATGAATATACTGCAGCAGCAAAGTTCTTGCAACACTATGCAGCAACACGATACTATGAATGTTTTACATTCAAGTATTCAACAAAATACGATTAACGTGTTGCAACAAAATACAGCTGGCAACGTGCAGAATATAGAACAAAGTTTGCAGTCGGGTATCAAGGATATAGCCCATGCGCAGCAGAACGTCATGACTAGTTTGCAACAACAAAATACGTCTGCTGTTTTACACAATACGAGCGTCCAGCAAAATGTGAATGTTCAGCAACAAAAGGTAGTGACAGCGAATACCTTCTCTTCCGTTAATGCGCATCACTTCGAGTCTCAAAATTCGGCTAACGTCGTGCAACAAGGAATCAATCCGCAACAAAACAATCAGAATCAGAATATCTTGATTACAAACACTCCTACCTCTAACACTTCCAATACCACCCAACAAAATGAATCTCAAAATGCCGAATCCCAAGGTGCAAATATACTGAACTCGGCGGCGAACAATATACTGAATAACGCGCCTAAAATCACGCCCGAAATTTTAAATGCGCTGAGAAACTTGAATCCCAACGACCAACTGCTGATCGCAAACGCGAACGGTCAGATGCAGGTGATCAGTCAGCAACTCTTGCAGCAACTTTTGGCTGGACAATTAAACGCGACGCAGAATCAGACGCAGAATCAAAATCAAACACAGAAGATAGTAATTGGCGAGCCGGATGCAAACAATCAGAACTTGCAAGGGGTTCAGATCAACACTCCGACGAGCCAAATAATCGTGAATAGTTCCGGTGGGGCTCCAACTATTCAAAATAATATTCAGAACATTGTGGTACAAGCTTCACCGTCCCAGATACCGCAACATATACAAATTCAAAATTCTGGCTTTCCTAACCAATTTATTGACAACCTGAATCAACAACAAATTAGAAATTTAGGCAACAATCCACCAAAGAAGGCGAAAGTCGTGAAAAAGAAAGTTGCTGTTACCGCTCAAAGCATTGTAACACAGGTATGTAAATACATTTTTATATCTTTCAATCTCCCATTCATTCTTTGCTTATTATAAGTCGATGCTTATTATTGTCGATTTTATTCTAAAAATGCATTAGAAAGTGTAAAATTTGCATTCTGCTTCTTTTCTTATTAAAAATCTATTTTCACTTTTTAGACGAAGACAGTAACCGTTACTCGACCAACTATGGTTACGGCGAATACGTCCAATGTGCAAAAAGTTGACAATTCTAATAAAACAAATACGACGGTATCTCATAATATAAATCTCACTAAGAGCGAATCGACTCCAATCATTACCAATGGTCCTTTGATTTCGACTTCTGCCGGTGGTCACGTAACAGTTCCCTCAAATGGCCAAGTGGTACATAGAGTACAAACTATTCAGCTCCCTGCTCAGTTGCAGCAATCGCTGAAAAACATTCATTTACAAATCCAAGCTATTTCGGCTCGAAAATCTAATACGTCATCGCATGATCCGGTGTTGGCGAAATTATATCAGGAGCAAGCAAGGATAATAGCCAGTGGAAAAGTCGTTAGCACTACTACACAACCTTTCACTAGCGTAAGTAATAATTGAGTTGTAGCAACAAAAAATAGTCAGCAACAAGATATACGAAACATTTGTTACAACGAAATATTTTTTTTTCTCCGTATAGACTGCCGAAACAATGTTCAGTGTAGTTTCATCAGTTGCGTCAAATATACATTCACAAAACTCATTCAAGAACCAGACGTCAGCGGCGCAAACGCAAACACAAACTTCCACTACTGCTATGCCAGCAACATCTCAAACTCCAAGTCTAAACATTGTTACGTCTGTAACAATGCCGAGTAGCTCGAATAATAGTTTCATTAACAATATAACGGTAAGTAGAGTATTATTACAAATATATATTTACTTGTAAGAATACATTTTATGCGTAGAAGCTACTATTGGTCATCATAATATTATATTTTATACTATTTCAAAATTATTACAGGTGTCGCAAGGTGTGCAAGGACAACAATCGGGTATATCGAACACTGTAACACAGAGCATGCATCAGACTAAACAGAATAAGTTTTATCAGAATCACGGGACTCAGATATTGAATCCGTCCTCCGCGAACATTCAAATCTTCTCGCCGCCGATCACCTCTGTGGCAACTCAGCAATTACAGAGCAACGCACAACAATTGACTCAAGTTCAGACACAGCAGCAGCCAGGCATACAATGTCAACAACAATCGACGCAATGTCAGACAGATCCATTGGACTTTAAACCAAATATACAGACACCGAGTCCTGTGAAACAGGAACTCTCGTCTCCTATCCAAGTTCAAGTTCAAAGCGGCTCTCCTGCAAGTCAAGTAACCTCGCCTAGAATGATAAGCAAGGGAACACAGAGGATTCAGAGTCCTGTAAATACCAATGGAGGCGCAGTGAAGCAACTTGTCAGTCCTAACAGCAGCACCAATCCTTTGATAAGTCCAAGGCAAGGCGTAAAAAGGCGTGCGACTAGCCCGATTTGTAGGCAATTGAACCGCGGCGATTTGTATGTATTTAAATATAAGTTTCTATGTGTTAACATTTCATTTTTTGGGATTTATTGATATTGATATTTAATTATATCATTACTTACAGAATGGAACAGCAGCTAAAAATCGATCAAAATGGTGCAACCAATCCGGATATGAATACACCATTCTCAGGCAAGCGTGATGCTTGCAAACGTTTGGTAAGGTATCATTGTCTAAATGAGCAAGTACTTGGACCTAAAGATCTGACGAAAGCGGATGAAATATTTGAAGAGACAGCAAAACATTTGTTGAGCAAATTCAACTGTATGATAAATAAATACACGTATCTTCTCCTAATGGAAAGCATGGTATGAATAACAATATGATTCACTTATTTAATAATTGTATACAATTAAAATTTTAATTAAATAACTAGTTATTTCGCTTAATTACATATGAAAACGTTTAAAATTGATACTTAAAATACTCAAATGATTTAAGTTTAAAATAGAGAAATTAGTTTTTTGTATTCGAAATTTTCTTTAATCAATTAATCTCACATAAGTAATTAACATAACATTTTTAAAATTATAGCGCGAAGTGAGAACGTCGGAATTGATGATGATTGATAGGACTTTTGTGGCTGAAGAGCAAAGTATTCTTAATAGGTTACGGGAACAGGAGGCAAAGCTTAATGGTAACTATGTTATTAGTTATTTCTAAATCGATATAATTGTAAAAATAAATATTATGTGCATTTGTTTTTCTTGTGATTACAAGTTTTTCGATTTTATTATATCTTTATTTTATACTTGTTGCTTTTACATTCTTGAATATATCCTATATATATTTTAAGTTACATTTAAAACACAAATTTCTCTTAAATAAATGTATATTTCGATATCATATATTGCAAATGAAATTACAGAAGAGCTTAAGAAAGAAGAAAAACCGTTGGTGCCAAAAGTTGAACCTGGCCTTGTAGAAGAGAATAAATCAACATTAACAACGTCGTCATCCTTGGTGAATGTGTCTGTAAAGCGTGAATTAGAAGATAATTTCCCAAATGATGAGGTGGAATGCAAACCAGTGATTAAGACGACAAGTAGTACTAACAATAGTGGCGATTACGACGAGTGGTTGGAGATCCAGAAAGAACTGGGTGTATATCCGTCTACTGCAGACACTTTAAAGTGTAAAAACGGCAATAACAGTGGTAGTAGTGCATGTGCTGTTACGAGATCATCGAAAATTGAAAGAACGCGAGCAAACGGCGAGTGTCTCCGTACGAATGTTTCAAATACAAATGTACCCGGTGTCTCGAATGCGATTATGAAGGACGATTGCGAGCAGGATGTAAATACGCCCTTCGACAGACGTTGGTGTAGTGCCACTGATCTCGAACGGGATTTGTCAGAGGATACCGACTTGGATGGATTGGCTTTGCATTCGCAGACACAATGTCCAAGCAGTACCGCCCCGAATGTAACGAGTAGCGAGAGCGGAAACACCGGTAACGAGCATAAAATCAATGAGCATGTACAGTCCGCCATCGACGGCATTCTTAATCTTAAGGAACGTCCTGCGAATACCCTGTCGGGCAGTGGTAACGGCAGTTCGCAATCCAGCGATTCGAGAGACACTGCGCTGGACCAAGCGGTCCGCAGCATTTTAAGCTCGTGACCCTCCTTTAGCAAAGTATGTTAAGAAGTGAAAGTTGATAGTTGAATCAAGCTAATTAATGCATCTTAAGAATTTTAGAGAGACTAAGATCGTCGATTTTTCATGGTTTTTGTGGATATCATTGAGATCTACCTATCATGAGAACTATGTTTTTAGTATTGATAACATCGGGTGAACTATGTTTCCGATACTGCATATCTTGGAGAGCACACAAATATAATTACTAAATTATTTGTATAAATCATACGTGATCTTTATTATTTTATTTATATGTTATTCAGCAGAAGGCAAACTGGATCGCGCATACATGTTGTGCGGCATGATACCGAACATTTTGAATATTTCTCAAAGAATTCTGTTCTACAATGGCAATAATTATTCATAATATACAAAACATGTATACTTTCCAGTAGTCTAGCTGTAATAAAGCCACCGCATAAATCTATAATTATAGCAGCTGTACATGTGAATAGATTAGATAGATAACTCGCTCAGAATTTTCAATATGCCACTTTGTAATGTAATTTTGTAAAAAGTAATTATTTAAAGCAACTTATTCCAATTTATCTGTAGTACTTGTAGGCGAATTATTGATACTTAAAAAAAAAATGGGTCGGTGAATATTGTACATACGTTTCAAGATATATTATTATTACGGTAATATTATTGTATTATTGTTATTGAGATTTATTCTCAGAATTATTATTATTATTATTATTTACAATTATTACGATTAACACCATCATCATTGGAACATGTGGGAAAAGCAAAGAGAAAGTAGTAGCATAAGAGACTGACATGTAAAATCGTGGGAAAATGCGGAATGTAAATTAATAACAAGATACAGGGTAATTTGTTATCGATGATGCAATCGAAAAGGTGATAATCCTGAAAAGACAAATCGTAAATATCGAATAAAGTTTTTTCACAAGACTTTATATTTTCAGAAATAGTCTCCTACAAAAAGTGTAGAATACGAATAGATTTCTTCGTAGGTTCACTCTTCACAAATCGGTTGTGTCGTCGATAACAGATTATTTTGTACAAAAAGGAGAAAGGGAATAGATAGCATTTATGCATGCTTATTTTGGATTCATTTCTATTCGACATAGTAATATATGCAGTCTCAATGTCAAGACGCAAAATCAAAGAGATAAAAATGTTTCTAAATGATGTATAGGGTTTTCCTTTTTTTTTAGCATCACATATGGATTCACAATATAGGTATGTGGGTAATTGACGGAAGGTATGTTGGAGAGTGCATGTGTGGAAAAAGGATAATCACATAATAAATCTGATTATTTGGGAATGTCTCTATAGCTATCGATAAGAATCAACATACATTCCTGTGGTCAATGTATGGTTTATTTTTAATTTTATGTATTTTAATTACACGATATTGTCACAAAAATATTCCTATTTAAAATTAAGAAAAAAAGATTGTTACCTTGAAATTCATTTTTCTGCTTTTTAACAAATTGATGCTCCTGTAAAATGCAAAGATGAGATCTGTGTATCTTCTGCGAGATGAAGTTTTATTATGTGAACTCGATTGCGCGTATTCTTTTTCTACATATATCTAAAACAACTCTCTGATGACAGCGGAAACGGAGCGTTTTCTGGCAAAAGCAATCCAAGACTGACGTATATACAGAAAAAAAAAACAAGCAAAACTATAATGTAATGTATTACATTAAGGAATAATAATCGTTTGTACATACATAATGTTCAATTACACACTCTCGACGGCAATCGTGACTTAATGAATTCTTCACAGATTTCAAAGATTTGCATATATTGAAATTCTTTTGATCCTAATAAATTGCCGAATATTTCACGAGTATGTATGTATGTATGTACATCATCCTACATCCCCATCTGCGAAGTTCGGATCACGTGTGTGTTTTTTCGCGAGTTTGCAATTATTGCACGTTAACAAACCGAGATTGTTAACGGTACAACCGCTGGCGAGAGTGAAGACAAATGGTACAGTGATAATATATTATAAATATAATTTAAACAACATTTTATTTTTCATTTGTTTATCAGTATACCCAGATTTAAAAAGAAAACGTATCATTGTTTATAATCATAGTTCTATATATGTGTCGCAGAATTATACAATCTTGTAACACAATTCAATCTTTCTTTTACGATATTATTACTTCGAATTATTTTTACGTAATATAGACGAACAGCAGATGAAATAATAGTAACGAAATTCAATACGAGCGTAATTTGTAAGTCGATGCGCGAGCATGATGATCGGATGATGAAATCCTGTGTTTTTGTATTTTGCAGAGGAGAGCGTTTGTGCTTAACGAAACGGGACATTGTACATTGCGTGAAGTTTTTTAAAGCCGATAAAAATTTCGTGCACCATGTACTTAAAACTGTCGTCTCATTTCACATCTTTTCGAGCATTTTTATTATTTCTATTATTTCTCCATCATTAATCGGAACTGAGTTTGCTCTTGATTTTGGATTCACGAGACGGATAACAGCGGTTTACCTCAAGAGTCAAGGATCCGAAACCGGTATAATTCCGAAATGAAAGAATCCAACTCTTTTTCCAGCGTAAAAAAAATTTGCGGAGGTCGCAAATTGAAAAGAATCGAATGCCGAACGCCGCAATTTTGTGAATTCGTAAGAACCAACGTATAGGAATCACGATTGGATGTAATTTATAAATCGAAAGGATAATGAAAATTATAATAATTATATTTGTATTTATTTATTATTGCGTTTAAATATTTTTTATGCGCACGCAGATTTATATAACGAATACATTTATTTGACGCAATTCATTTTCGCGTTTCATTTCCTGGCCTAGATCGCCTGCTTCATCGCGTCTCGCAACGGTACAGAAGTTATATAATTTCCCCGTGAATAGTGTCGATAAAACGATATTTTATTCATAAAGTATCAGCAAAAAAGAAATTCCGCGCTACGCACTTACTTAAATACAATGCTATGAGAAGCAAAGCAATATAATATCGTAGTTGATAACTAAGTATATACTCTTTCAAATACATTCTACGATAATAGAAATAATACCTTTAAATTTTGATTGTTTTTAAATACTTTTCGGCAATAAATTAATTTCTTTATAACATTCCTATTTTTAATATTTTGATATTTTTTAAGTTGTCATAAAACTGCGCTTCAAAATTAAATAGCGATCGACGTATATCGTTCGAGAACGTGAAGGCGAGACGTATTGAACTAAAAAAAAAATTAACTTTTAAATTATTAAAATTTAATCCTACAATACATAATAATTATTCCATAATTATTATTTTTTTTTAATTACTCAAGACTAAAAGTAAATTGAGCCAGTCACAATGGACCGTTAATTATTATTAATTACATATAAGATTTTGAATATTAATTTAACTTTGAAATATATACAGGGTGTCCCAAAATTCGCGAATCAAAATATCATAACAAGGAAGTCTTCGAAAAATTAAATAAAAAAAGTTATTTGTAAATTTTTATTTTAAACAATAGTGTTTGAGATATAAGGAATTCAATTTAACCAATTACAGGTTATGATTAAACGGAGACATATATGTCCGTGAACGCATCGATAGTGTTAGTAATCGCGCACTAATCTATAATTGGCTAAATTTAAATCCTTATATCTCAAAAACTATTGCTTAAAATAAAAATTTACAAATAACTTTTTTATTTAATTTTTTGAAGACTTTCTTGTAATGATATTTTAATTCGCGAATTTCGGGACACCCTGTACATATAGGTAATAGGTATCTTCGTTTCGAAGTGCATATTTCGTCTTTTACAGGGGTGCGACCGGGAACAGCAGAACGGACAGTCGATCCTTCTTGATCCTTAGATCTCTGCTTAATTTTTCGGGCATTTATATTATTTTTATAAAAAATACATTTTATTTCCCCGAGAAGAGAGAAAAGATGAATTTGCGTGAAATATGGAGGGGAGACAACGTGCGTGCAAATTTACACGGATTCACGGCGGAGGGGGGAGGTGGAGCTCGTGTAAGCTCGCCATACGCGAGTTTCAGCGATACACGTATCGTATGCGCGCGTATGTAAACAATCGTAAACAATCTCCACGGTAATTAATACTCTTCTAACATGATCTCGTTGACAAAGATTGAAAAATCAACAAAGGGCGAAGCAGAAGTCGACGAAGTGACAGACGCTCAGGACGATCCGTACGACGTGGAGAAATGTGCTCGTTGGATTCGGACAAATGCCTTAAAACAGGTTTAGAGGACGCATATGCTTTTAAAAAAAAATCTCACTTGTATATTACTGTGTAAATAGTGTAGAGTCGCAGTTGCAGGTCTTTTTAAACGATTCAGTTCCTCGTAACAGATTATTCCTTCTCGTAAATTAAAGATGCAGTAATAGTTGAGGTTATGTGTGAAAACTTGCTAAATCCCTTTTTTTCTCCTAGAAAATGTGTCATTGTATATCTGTTGCAAAAATATTGGATACAAAAAGTAATAATAATAATGCTAATGATAATCACATTGCTGGAGTTACTTATTGATGGTAGATAAGATTAGGTTAAGTAAGGTTAAACATAAATCTATATATCCAGTATAAAAATACTGGATATATAGATTTATCCAGCATATATGAACAGTTATTACAACGTATAGTCAGATAATTTTTATTGTATGTAATTTTTATTTGTACATATAATTTTGTTATAATTTTGTACATATAGGGTAACTGTTCCTATTAGTGTGCCCTGTACCTATTAGTGTGCTTTTATATTTAAATAAGTCATAAAAATAAACTGGTACAAATAAATAGACAAAGTATTTTTTTTCTATAAAGTTAATACTTTAACTTAATAAAAAAAAAATACTTTGTCTATATATTTGTACCAATTTACTTTTATGACTTATATAAATATAAAAGCACACTAATAGGTTCAGGGCACATTAATAGGGACAGTTACCCTAGTTGTGTATGTGTGTGTGTGTGTGTAATTCTGTTATTAACCGAATATCTTGGGTCTATAATGCTCTGTCGCGTGTCGTAGGTATGCCTACAGTTTCCAGACAGCCTGTTACCAAACTCGGTGGAAGTTGCGCTACGCTTGGAGAGGAGCGTAGAGCAGAAAGTGTACATCTTGGGGGACACGAGCTGCGGTAGCTGTTGCGTCGACGAGGTAACGGCGCAACACATTGAGGCGGATGGCATAATACACTTTGGTCACGCCTGCCTCAATCCCACCGCTCGTTTACCGGTCTTTCACGTTTTACCGAGAAAGCAGTTGAACGCGACGGAGCTCGTTGATGAGTTCAAGCGAGTCTTCGCCGACTGCACGAAGAAGATTATATTTTTCTACGATGTGGCGTATGCGCATGAAATTGGTAAATGTTCAAGATATTATCAGAACTGGCGATAGCGATGAGGATGGAGGTATAATGCAAATTGTGTATGATTCCAGAATATGTATATAATATATTGAAACCTATGTATAAACACTTAATTTTGTCTAAATTAAATTGTACATCGAACGTGGAGTATACCGATACGAGAGCAAACCCGGCCTCGGTTGTCTTAGGTAGAAGTTACGCCTTAGAAAATGGATATAATGTACAGGATTACGAAGGGTTCTTTTTGGGCGAGAAAGAAAAAATTCTCGCGTTATTAGCGATGAGTATACCTGTGAAAAAGTGGTACTGTTACACAAACGATAAAATTAGCGAGTTCGAAGCGTTGAATACACCTTGGTTGAAACGAAGGAGATTCCTAATAGAAAAGCTGAGGGATGCGAAAATTGTGGGAATTGTGGTGGCCACATTGGGCATTCAGCAATATTTGACAGCTATAAACATGGTAAAAAGGACGCTCAAGCAAAAAAATAAAAAGTCTTATCTTCTTAGTGTAGGAAAGATAAATCCTGCCAAGCTTGCAAATTTTCCGGAGGTACGTTCAGGTATATGTTGTAACAATGAAACGTATTGAATTTAATTTTATCATTATGCCAATGATTATTCGATTTTTATTTCAGATTGATGCTTTTGTTGTGATAGCTTGTCCAGAAAATGAAGTATTTGACTCGAGAGACTTTTTTAAGCCTATACTTACAGTGTACGAAGTTGAATTGGCATTCAATAGCGCAAGGGAATTCTGTCCACAATTTTTCATGGATTTTCGGCAGATATTACCCGGTGGCTCTCACTATGTCGACTTTAAGCCATCAACGGACTCGGATGTTTCTCTCATAACCAGCAACGTCAGAAATTGCGAGGATGATACTTTATGTACAGATCACATGAATGCTTTGACAGTTCGTTCATCAGGTATATTCAGTTTATTTAAATTTAAAAAATGTTTAAAAAACTAATAAGGCAATAAAAATTGTAAAATGATAGTAAAAAATTATTTGATATCTACTGCTTAATATTAATTAGTTTTCTCTAAAATCAAAGAGACACCTTTCTCTACATTCTTCATACTTTTAATTACTCTAGAGAATCCTTTTTTGCGTTTTGACATCGAATTTTTTTTTACATTTACTTTCTGTGCAAGCGATTTAATAATTCAAAGCTATTTTATGTAACTAGATTGCAGTAATGATTAATATAGCAATTCTTTCATTAGGTACTGTTGCTATTGGTAAGGCTGGAGCTCAATATCTACAAGAAAGATCCTGGAAGGGTGTTGAGCAAAGACTAGGTGAAGATCCTGTACAACCAGCAGAAACTGGCCGCGCTGGATTAGCATGGGAATATACAAATGAAACTTCAAAAACAGATAAACATAACGCACAAACGGAATAAATATTGTATATCTATATGTGAAGTATTCATTCCTTTCTCCTGAAGTTTGAAAATCCGAACCGCGGAAATCTAAATTCTCAAAATTTATAACAAAAGTACATAATCAGAGAGATAAGAAATAATATCAATTAAATTTCGAAAAATCGCAATTTTAAAATTTCTAGAATTTCAAGTATAAAACATTTTAAACAAAATTTAAATTGTTTAATATCGACAAACAGGAAAATATAATTATGTAAGAATTGATATATCGAAAGAGAATAGCGATGCCAAAAATTCTTAGAATTCTAAGTCTTCACGTAAAAATTTAATATTTTAAAACATCCAAGTATCTGGAGAATATAATCGGTGGAATTAATGGTTTAAGAATTAGTAGAGTGGCATAAATAAAAACTCAAAATATTTTAACTCTAAAATCCGCAACACTTTAGTTCTTATATTTATATTTTTATTTTACATTTTATTAAATGAAGTATAAAGATATTAGGTATTAAACTTAATTCCTGCCGTTCGCTACTAGAGGGTACTGGCTCCAACGCTGGCGAGTTTCGACGATGAAACCATATGTCTTTTGTAGTTTAGACATCGCTGAAAGTGATTCAATCCTCATAGATTAGATTCTTTCTCGACGCCAAAGAGATTTTTCAATCGACTGAAAATGAATCGCGATAAGCTGTTTTTCCGACATTTGCTTCTTCACTACTTCGACCTCAAGAAAACCGCAGCTGAAGCACATCGCTTATTATCCGAAGTGTATGGTGATGAAGCTCCATCGGAAAGAACATGTAGAGTTTGGTTTGAACGCTTCCGAAACGGTGATTTTGATGTGAGAGACAAAGAACGTCCAGGACAGCCGAAAAAATTTGAAGATGTCGAGCTGCAAGAATTGCTCGATGAGAATCCAGCCCAAACGCTTTTAGAGTTGTCGGATCAGTTAAATGTTACTCCAATGGCCGTCTCAAAACGCTTGCATGCCATGGGAAAGATTCATAAGGAAGGAAAATGGCTACCACATGAGTTGTCGGAAAAACTGGTCGACAAGAAAACCGAATCGGATTCTTCTGAGAAAAATGTTAAAGCGAAGCTGTCGCTTCTAGCATCTTCTAGCGAGAGTTCTAGTTCTAAAATGGCAAATATCTCAAGGAGTATTAAACGTGTTCATGAGCCTGAGAATGATAGAGAATCTATAATCTCCAGGATAAAGAAGAGAAGATTCAACCTCGAAAAAAATCATTATTACTACCAAAATAATGAGAAATTGAGAATGTCCTGCGAAGTTCATTTAACGCGATTAAACACGGAAGTTCTTAAGTCCTATTCCTATGCATTAAGAAATTAAGTCAAGAGAGTATCTGGAACATAAGGCGCTCAAAAGGTATCCAGCATTTTCTGTAAAACCTATGTCTGTTGTCTTGCATCATTTGCCATAATTGATTTGCTGTTTGATATTAGAGTTTCAAAATGTATGATAGAGTTGTATACTTATAGAGCTTATAGCGTGATTATAATTAAAGTAACAAAATTTAATTTTGAATGAGATTACATCTTGCCAAGTCTAAACATATGAATATATGAAGATATAATATTGATAAAAATATATTAAATTGTTAGCGTTATTTTGCTTGTTTATTACTACAGGACGAGTTATAAAATATTTTAATGTAATGTTTTCATTATAAACATCAAATGTACAGTCAAATTGGATATTTTTTATATTAACTTCGTAAATCAAAATTTTAATTTCATATGATGGCATTTAAATGGAGTCTTTATCAACTTTTAGTCATAAAAATCTAAGTCCCGACAGTAGGTATAATAAAGTTTTTAATCTTTTGTTGTAAGTTCTAAATTGTAACTTTTCTGGCAAAAAGTGTTTCCGACGTTACCATAATCCCTAAATTTTAAACGAGCTGGCCAGATCTCACAATCAACTATAAAGTTTAGAGCAAATTAACGTCACAATTCAGAGCCTAGAGGAAAGGACTAAGAGCTTATTATCTATTGTAGATCGGGAGGCTAATAAAAATCTCTGTAGCAAATATGTCTGCACTTATGGTTTAATTTGATTGTAAAAGATAATAAATATAATACAAGTTCAGTTACGTAATATACACTTCCTTAAATCGACTGCACTTCTTTGGAAATATACTAAATCTCTAATATATTGAAAAATGTTTCATTTTACTGTAATAATCGACTGTATTTATTTATATACATAATAATTTTATAGTAACTACAATTTCTGTGGATTAAAGTTTTTGTATATTACAAACTTAATACTATTTCTTGCACATTTGCTTTTACAATGAAATAGATACATTTAAATATTATAATATAATAAATTTTTATGTAACAAATTTAATTTATGTATGAATTAGTTATTATCAAAAGTACCTTATTTTCATTATCTTTACAGTTTTGTTAATCTGGATAAACTTGAAAAGAGACGCAAAGAAAATGCAAAGGAAGATTCCGATTCGTTGACGGATGACGATTCGTCCTCAAAAATTTCGAAAAGCTCAAATAAACGAAAGGGAAAGACAAAGGTCAAAGAAGAGATTTTGATGGACCATTTTGAAAAAGTACAGGACAGCTAGCGACATCATGGCAACTGTAGAAACAAATTCTGATACTGAAGAATCAGTTTGTCAAATAAAAAATGATATACAGAGTGTCCGGTAATAACCGGATAATATCTCGTGGGCTGATAGAGCAGATTAAACTGAACAGAAAAGTCCTCTACCATTTTGCAAAATTCGCAATCGTTAGCGAGATATTAATTTTTGAAGATTGACGAATAAATGCGTATCCGTCCGGCCCACCGCTAAATACCAGCAGTGGGGCGAACAAATACGCGGTTATTTGCCAATCTTCAAAAATTAATATCTCGTTAACGATTGCGACTTTTGTAAAATGGTAGAGGACTTTTCTGTTCAGTTTCATCTGCTCTACCTGCCCACGAAGTCTGGTACGGTTATTATGGGACACCCTGTATATATACAAGGTGTCCGGTAATAACCGGATAATATCTCGTGAGCTGGTAGAGCAGATTAAACTGGATCGAAAAGTCCTCTATCATTTTGCAAAATTCGCAATTGTTAAAGAGATATTAATTTTTAAAGATCGGCGAATAAACGCATATCCATCCGCCATACCGCTGAAAGCAGGCGCGCGGCGAGATACGATCGCCCCACCGCTCGTCAACTACCGGCTAGCAACTACCAGCGGTGGGGCCGTCGTATCTCGCCGCGCGCCTGCATTCAGCAGTAGGCGGACGGATATGCGTTTATTCGCCGATCTTCA